GGAAAAATGAGTATTTTTGCAATAACTCAGGAATGGCTTGGCCAATTCTTCTCATCTTCGAACTCGACCGAGATATTGTTGAGACTAAACTGTGTAGAAAATTTCATCGCAATCGGACTCTCCTTTCAAAGGTTATCGTGTAAACGGATGGACACACTGACCGATTCTAGAGTGTACTTCCTTTTTGAGTACACAAAAAGATATATTGAAATGAATAGCATAAATGAATTTGACGTGAGCAGATTCTTTAAGTAATCAACTCATTGATATTTTGCTTTACTTCAAAAGAAAATCATGAATCAATATTATAATCAACGCTTTTTTTTCTCGAATACCATACTGTTAAGTGGAATAGTTTTAAAAAATTAATTTCTAAGACATGATTTATGTGTATGTATAATAATATTTAGTTTTTAAGCGCCTAATAATATTTTCATTTGAAATTAATATCTAATAACCCGTATAATCATACATTAATAATAAATACATCATGGACTCTGTTCAAAACTTAATCAAAAACCTTTTTCCACATAATACTATAAGTTATCGTATAAATGACTTAACTAATGAACCATCTGATCGAAATAATATAACAAATGATATTTGTATAAGTATAGAAAAAGAAAATAAATCCCGAGAATTTTGTCGTCTTACCATTGAACAACTAATAACACTATTTGAACATTGTCCTGTATCCGATCGAACTTTATAGGAAGTTATTTCTCTATCGAAGGCTGTCAAAACATATATTGATTATGAGTACTTCATCGACAAAAATCTTGATATAGAAAATCATTACATTGGTCCTATATCTTGTCTTAAAATACTTTACTATTTTCTAAATATTCCAAATGACACTATTGATACAATCGAAATTTATACACAAAAGATTTTAAAACAATTTCTAGTTTTACAAGCGTAAGTGATCATATTTTTTTTAACATGCCATACAATTTTTTTATTACTCTCTCTCTCTCCAAAATAGAATTATTTTGATTAAATTTCATGTATATTGATTTTTCTCAATTAATCGATTATATCTTTGTTTTTTTTTGTTATAAGATCAACAAACGAAAAGATATCGTATCATTTTATACATTGGAAACCATCACTTGTATTTGAAAATGTATCAACTCTTGGTATTTTTCTGAAAGCTATTATTCATTTTCTCCTACTCTCAATTATTCAACATAAATGTACAATGTTTAATATCAATTCACCACCAGAACCCTGGACGATATCAAATTTAATTCAAATCTTAGCTCCATATGTCAGTGTACTACGAAAACATTGTACTTCATGTACAATATCGATTCCTTATGTTTCAATTGCTGATATTTCATATTTGCTTGTACGAAGTGCAGCAGATAAATGGACTACAGCGATTGATATAAATGTTTATTCAAAAAACCAACAATTTCGTTTATTTAATAGTGTAAAATACGGAAAAAACAATCCCCTTATTCCCTCAATTACATTTCCTTTTGCTTCTTCGTTACAATATTCATCCAGTGATATTCTTGAAAAATCATTAATTACATTAATTGAAGATCATCAAATACCAAAAATTTATTTCAAAAATAAAAATTTTATAATTCATTTTTCACCTTATTCAAGTTCAACAACTACAATTCCACAAAATTTATTAAATATTAAATTAATTAATGATCACATAGAGCATTCATGTTTTCTTAATCTAGATACAAATACTAATACAAATCAAAATTCTTCTTCTTCATTACATCTAAATAAATCTAATAAACTAGATTTATCTATACCTGATATCCGAATATTTATTACTTTTGTTCAGAACATCATTATATCTGATCCATCTCATCAAGGCTATATACGTTCATGCATTAGAAGAACTTACAATAACAATTTATTGTTTTTCAATATAGCAGGTTATTATAAATATTGTTCAAAGAAAAAAGATCACCATCAACATAACAACGTAGCTATCATCATAAATATTAAAAACTATACATATAGCATTCAATGTAAAGATCCTGAATGTAACAATACTATACTGTCTTGGAAAAAAATAAAATAAACTGTTTTTTTTTTCATTTAAATAATATATGTTCTATTTATTAATATACTAATATTTTATTCGCTAAAAGATAAAAGATTCATAAATTATTTCTTACAATGTTTAATCATAAAACATTTAATCATAAAACAAATTCATTGCATATACTTCTCTCTCTTCTTCTCTAATCATTTCTTTTTGCTTACTCCTCTATTTATATTTTTTCAATATATATTATTACATTTTTTTTGTAAAATATAAAAGTTCATTTTATCAATAGTTTATATATGAATTTTTCTGATTAACAATAATGAAACAATTTCATAAAAGGCGCGCTTCTCTTTCATTTCGTAAACATGATTATCGATCTTTACATCAATACAGCTGTACATCAATAATAAAAACTATTAAAAATATGAAATAAAAATCTCAGACGTGCACAATTAACAATTACTGATCTAAATTGGTAAGTTATATGATTTATACTTAAGATAAGCTAATGATCACAACATATCATTAAGGAAAATCAGTAATGCATTACAATACAACTACTCTATTTAGTAAAGTTAGCAATCTACTAAATCGCTTGATTTATTATATTTAAAAGCAAATCATTCGAGAAATATTAGAAATGAAAATCCATTAGTGAAAAAAACCAAAAAAAAATATACGAACTATAGTTAGATTTCAACGTATTTTTGCAAACCTTTGAGATGAAAAATAAACTTTTGACATAGGAAAGAAAAAAATATTACATCGTGATCATTAGACTTATCGAACTTAATCACATAACTTCTTATGAGAAAAAAGATCTATTTGTAAACAAATGTTTACACGGCAGTAAATCATGTAAACCATTATTAGCAAATGAAGAAAGTGAACAACAAAATTTAATTGAAGAAGCTGATGCTGAATGTTTAATTTGTTTATTATATTTAAAAAATATTATTGATAAATCAAATAATGAAAAAACATTTAGTATAGTAGCAGAAATGTATGATATACGTAATTGTCAATTAGCAAATAGAACATGTGCCGATGATTTTATTGTTAGTCCAAATTTAATATCAAAATATGTTTCACAATTATCTGAAAATAAAAATATAAAAAAAGTTTATGATGTTGTATTAATAGCTGATGATCCTGAGATTTATTTATGTTTAGCATCGATGTTCGTTCCACTAGAAACACCAATTAGTTGTTATCAAATTTTAGAAGAAACATTAAAATATCAATGTGTAGCAATTGGTTATAGATTAATGAAATATTTACATGATGAAACAAGAGTTTTTGGAATTGTTTTAAATCCAGATAAACAAGAACAAATTATATTTTCATAAAATGATAAAATTATTATTTTAGCTGAAAACTTTATGTCATCTGCTCCTCATAGTATGCAAATTCGTAGATATCGGCTAGCTATTAGCGGTAAACCGCGGTAAATTACAGTAGTGGGATCCGGGCCTCAAAACGGACCAATTTTTGATGGCCCGACCCGGTACGAATAACAATGGCACTATTATAAATATCTTTGTTTTACAAAAAGTTTTTTATATGATGAAACTCAATGGTCACTGAAGTGTATCGGGTGTGGGAGGGATGTGAGTGTGAGTGTAGGTGTGTAAAGAAAAAAGATGGAAGGAATGTTAGTGAGGTTGGTGATTCTATTCCCTCATATCCTACAATCGTATCGTTTACATTTAAATCTCACATTTATTTACACGAGTAGAATAAGCAATGACGCAAACAAAGAAGATGAGGCCAAGGAGAGAACACACATAGAAGAACAATCGAGTAAGGACATAACGTAAGAATACATATAAGATACGAGTGAGTGACGATATAGAATGAGAAGAAGGTTTAATCATGCATAAATGAACGTAAGTAACCCGATTATGAACACTACGTATCATTGATTGTATAGCAACACACTGAGAAAGAAAAGACCTCACATAAGATAAGATGCCTATTGGCAGAAGGTGTATTGTGGATGTTCGTGTTAATCTTCAGTCCATCCAAACCCACATATACACCCTACACCGCTTCAAGTCATACCCTTATTTTCTGGTTGATGTACGCTTGAATAGAGCACCAATCAGTTGATGATTAAATTGTGCACACAATACAACCACTTGAAGTACCAACAGCGGTTCATAAGCGCAGGTTTGCAAGCAAAACTTGAATCTACAGAATTTTTACTTTTTCAATCAGCCCTGATAATGACTACATGAGACTGTTTCAATGAATAAATTTTTCAAAAACTTTTGAAATACACGTAAACTGTAAAAACTTCATGTAAATATTTCGATTCAAAACAATAACTATTAAGTACTTTCATTATTTTTGCATGAAGTGAAAATAGTACTAATAAGTGAACCCATTTAATTAGCTATAAAGGTCTGTATATTTTCTATGTTCTATCAAAGAAAGCAGCCGTGCGGATAATTTTTGTCGCAACTTTATATCTGATCAGATATATGAAATTTCCTATGATTATAATTCCAAGATGCCAGAATAATATCAATGATAAAGTTAGATTTATGATTAGCATTTCTTTCAAAATTATATTCTGTATACAAAAATATCTGATAGGTTGCTCACTTATCATCATCCACATTCCTTTTGTTGATACTGCAGCAAGGCGTTATCTGTACCTTTATTTTGTTAAAAGTTGACTCTTTTTTTTGCCTCTTTTCTTTATCTGTCATTCTTATTATTATTTATATAAACTGATGTTCTATGCAAGATAGATATAAATAAACATTTGAATTAGTCTACCTCGATAAAACTTTGTACATTCTATTAAATATTATTGTAAACATTGTTAAACATGTAGTATTAGGTGTTATTTCTTAAATTCTAGATACTATTACTTTTAATATATGTTTCTATCTTATTTAATATTAATACAATCGGAATTTTTTAGTGGAAAATACTATTTCTAAGTATTCCTTAAAACGTTTTAATGCCTTATACAGTAACACCAACAGCACCTCTTACTCTTCCAGTTACAAATTCAATTTCACTTACATCTTCTGATATTAACTCTTATCGTGAAAATGGTTACCATGTTGTACCTAATCTTCTTTCTCCTTCTCAACTTGAACAATGGCGAACTATTATATATGGTGCAGTAAAAGATCGTGCAGAAAGAAAGTATAAAATGCCTACAGCGAATGAAGAAGATCATACCAATGTTAATTTTGAGTATTATGATAATATATTCACGCAACGTATCAATTTATGGCAAACACATAATTCTGTTAAAGAACTATTACTAGAAAGTGGAAATGTTATTGGAAAAATGGCTGCTGAATTGGAAGGTATTGATTGTGTTAGAATTTGGCATGATCAAGCATTAATTAAAGAACCATTTGCAAATCCTACTTCTTGGTAAAATTATTATATAATACTTATATATTCATGTTTTCTTCTCTTTATAAAGGCATTTTGATGTTACATATTGGTCATTCACTTCTTTGCATGCCATAAGTGTTTGGATTGCATTGGATGATTCAACATTAGAAAATGGTTGTATGTATTTTATGCCTGGATCACATAAAGTAAGACTTATTCTTAATTAAATTTTTTTTTCAAAAATCTAATATGTAAATAAAAAAATTCAGTTACATTTATTTTTATTTAATCTCTTTCTTTGATCTTGCTTAGGTTCAATGTTTGCTAGAGTATGAGTTCTTTGAAAAGTTAGAACTCTATTTCATCATTCATGTTTCTATGATTCTATGAAGAGATTGAAACAAGGTTGATTTGTTTAGGTTATAGAACGTCGTTATTGTGAATCAAAAAATACATTTCCAGAGATAAAAATCGGTAAAAATATGGCTGATATATTCGCTATTTATCCTGAATTAAAACAAATGCCAACAGTAGCTGTACCAATGAAAGCAGGAAGTGCTTCATTTCATAGTGGTCTTCTTATACATGGCGCTAATGCCAATATGACACCAGGGAGAAGACCTGCAATGACTATTCAAATGTAAGAAAAAATTATGAGAAAAAAAATTCATTTATTTATAATATTGTAATGATATTATATTCATTTAGGATGCCAGATAATATGGTTTTCAATGGTAAACAGAATATTTTAACAAAAGAACAAATGGATAAATTAGAAATAGGTGTCTCTGTTTTTAATGATGATAATTGTAATCCCATATTATATAAAAAAAATTAAATAAAATCTATTGTTTCTAAATAAAGTACTTGAAGGATATGAACAAATTCTATAATTATAGAATCCTTCTATACACATTAAATAATTAGTATGATTTCGCAATGAGATGCTCTCAACAAAAATTTATTTTTGTATATCTGTTTATTAGTGAATTATATGCATTACTAAAAGACTATTCAGCTGTACTATCATCTAATGAAAAAGTATTTGATCTTGAACAAAAAATCTCTCCCATCCGATAATCCATCATTGATTACTGGTTTTTACAGCATTTAGGCATGCACCGAATCCGAACGTTCGGGTTCGATCTCAAATGGTGTGGGTGTGGGTGTGAGTGTTAGTGTGTGTATGTATATATTTACAAATAGAGATACCCAGATCGAGCATTACGGTGATCAGAAACGGCCGTACACGGTGGAAATACAGTCGTATTTACGCCGTATTTTCCTGCACCGTATTGCGGTCGTCGTATACAACCGATTACCACGAAGCAAGTCTGTACACTTCCGCATCTACACCATATATATCACTGAACCATTTCACGCTCACATCACGCTCTACTACGCACAACTGTCAACAACAGCACAGCATAATAAAACGCAACCGTCTCTTTTCCCACGACTTCTCAACATACCTATACTTGTATCCACTGGTTATCTTCGGACCAAACCCAGAGTTCTTGGCGAAGCTGTATCGATTGATTAGTAGATGTATCGTAACTCTCACGCTCCTTCATGCAAAACTCACATCCAGGGTCTTAATTGGAGATTCAAAAGGACCAATCAAATTTCAGGAGAACTTTTCTCTCTTATTATGAGAGCATGTACTAGTCGTGTTGGGGCGAATCGTAGATTGATATATGTATTATCTACTATGCGGTTATTTGCTATAGCTTCATGATGCATCCAATTATATGAGGTGTGTTCGCACATTGTAGCGGTCTATTTTGCGCCTGTTTATGGTCAGCTTATTGATACGGTGGCCGTGAATGGGCGCTGTGCGATTTCATTATTTTCGATCATCGTAAGCGGTCGTAAAGTGCCGTAAACTGCTGGCGTTTACGGCGTGGTACGTCGTTTCACGTGAAACGTGTACGGCCGGTGTATGTTTATGCCAGCTGTTAACGGTTGAATTTTTTGGTCGTCATATACGTCCATTCTGAAACGGCAATCGTTTTTCGCCGTATTTGATTGTGTACTGCCGTATACGGCTGTGAGTGATTGACCTGAGCGAGAGGTTTCAGCAAGATCGAAACGCGTTGTGGTAGCTCTGTATCCCATCATTGAGATGCAATCAATTATGTGTAATGAAATAATATCGATTAAAATATCATAAAGAAATACGTATTGTCGGTAATAGTGACAAGCACGTACAAAAAATGAAGTAAAATACAACCAAAACATATCAGTTAACCCTTTCCGGCCGGATGTATCCATCTGGTTACATCCGGCCACTAGGGAACAAAAATTTTGAAAAACTCGTTTTTTTTTGTCTGTCAAAATTCAATATTTTATGGTTTTGTTGCATCTATATCTGTAGACGCAACCACAGTTTGTCCATGTTTTGCAGGCCAAAGCTTAAATATTTGTAGAATGTTCTGAAATTCTCCAGTACGGTGCAAAATTAGCTCAATTTGTCCAAAAAATGTCTGAACACTCAGGAACATTCTAGAGATTTTCTAAACATTTCGTAATAGTCTAGTTCTGAATACTACAGAATGTTCAGAAAGTTTTTGGAGAAATTGAGCTAATTTTGCATCGTACTGAAGAATTTCAGAACATTCTACAAATATTTAAACTTTGACCTGAAAAATCTGGACAAATTGTGGTTATGTCTACAGGTATAGATGTAACAAAATCATAAAATATTGAATTTTGACAGACAAAAAAAATGAGTTTTTCAAAATTTTTGTCCCCTAGCGGCCGGATGTATCCAAATGGATACGAAAAGCAATTAGATGCCGAAGCACTTATTGCTTCTGAAAAAATAACTTTTCCTATCTCTATAGTCTAGGAGCAACAAAAATGCACGAAAAGATTTTTTTGCTCCTTGTCTTCTGGTAGCCGGCTGGAAAGGGTTAAGAAATATTTAAATCACTTCATGGCTAACATTGCCACTGTTCACGTGAATATTGTATCCTCTATTCGATCGTAGCAAGTGGCAAAACAGTGGATAATTGATCAATACCGATTTCATTACAGAGATATGTGTCATTTTATTTTCTTGTTCGAAATGCCTCTAACGTTTGATAAATAGATCTAGACATGAAGTAAAAGCTTAATTTACTTAGGTTTAAATGAAATTTAAGCAATGACATAAGCCTATGATAAATATACGAAAGGCAAAGAATGCATATACCAGACTGTCTATTGTGGCACTAGAAAAAAGATTAGATATAGTTGTCATTTTAACACTTATGTGAGATGAATTCGACGTTGAACGGTTGTACCTATTTCAGTGGCAGCTCTGTAAAACTCTTTTCGATAAAATTTTGATGGTAACACAAACACTACAAATACCACCAATGGTGGAATAAATGATATGAAATAGCTACTCAGGTACAACCAAGGATTTCTAACTGATTTCATACATTGAGAGAGGAATAAAATAACAAGATGTGCTATACTAATCACAATCAGAGCAAAAGAACTGAATATTCGATGTTTATGTTTTTGAAATTGAATCCATATATGCTCTTTGTATGTTCTCTCTCTACGAATTCGTAATTTCTCTCGAGCTATTAATACAATAATTATTATTGTGGAGATAAAATTACTACAAATAGGTAGAAGAAAATGAAGAATATTAACAAATGAAGCATAAGTTTGCGTTGATGATGAATATCGAATGACACACCATGTTCGTTCTTCTTGTGTATCTTGAAGTAAACTACGATAAATGGGATCATGAACGAAGCTTAGAAATGTCAAGAAATATATTCCGAAAATCATGTTCTTCGCAATTCGTTTACATTTTTGTTTATTGAATTTTACATCACATTGAATGGTCCATATACACGCTCAATATTCACAAAAGCAGTCAACCATCCTCCAACAGCTAAAAATGATTTTAAAAGCATATCCATACAAACGCAGGTCGATGAAAGAAAACAGTGATTTGTAATAATTGCCATTTGAAAAAGGACAAGAAACAAAAACTTCAGTGCAAATAATAACATGGCTACAAAATATGTGATGGATGCTGCAAGTAGATAAAGACCAGAACCAACTACATGTGATTCTTTTGTTTTAAAAGTGATCATACATAAAATACCGTTGATAAGTCCAATAACAAAGACGACTGCTATAACAGCTGTTGAAATTTTAACTATATTGGGCTGTTGTAAGTTTGGCAGAATACTATAACCAAGAATAACATCAAGTGATAGACCGAATCCTTTTGTAGTAAATTGACATCGACAACCAAAATAACATTCTTTGCAAAGACATGATGATGCAGTTGGACAAGTTTGATTATCAACAAAACATCAACCCTGACTTGAACAATAATTATATCCAAAACAATCATAAATATGACTAAAATCAAATTTAAAATAATTTGCATGTCGATCAATGTCACATAAACACATGAAATAATCATCATCATAGATACATGTAAGATTTGAACGTTTCTGACATGAAATATGGTATTGTTTTGCACGATGCCATCTTGATAAGCTCTGAATATTATTAGAAAATACTTCTCTGATTGATAAACACTGATGTTGAGGAATAATTGTTCTTGAAATTTCACAAATATAATATGAAACTCTCATGAATAATAAATAAAAGCGGAAGTTTCATGTAACTTTATTTTAGAAGCTCGTGCTATTTGTTTTGGTTGAGGAGGACGATTAACAATAGTGAATGAGGAGCCGAATATCTCAAAATCTGGTGGAACATAGATAAAATGCACTAGAATCTTTTCAGGAATAAACCATGATTTGTCAAAACAAAATTCGATTCTTCGACTTCGCTTTTTACAAAATGTACCGGTGTAGTTTTGTGAGCAACGACAATAGTATTCTGTTTCAAAGTGCTTTTCACCACCACTTATGCATTGATTATGACTGGAACATTGATTGAATTCACATGCTATGCGTTTTAGATAACAACGTGGTCCAAATTTATGAGGAGGGCATACACATCACGATCGATTGTTCACAACTAGGGGTGGCACTTTAAACTTTAAAAACACTTTAACTTTAATTAAAGTTTAAAGTGTTTTACTTTAAACTTTAAACTTTAATTAAAGTGAAAAATTTTCGAACTTTAAACTTTAATTAAAGTTTAAAGGGAAAACACTTTAAACTTTAAACTTTCATTAAAGTAAAAATTTTAACACTTTAACTTTAAAAAAAAGTTAAAGTTAAAGTGTTTCTGTCATGCCATACTATAGGGGTACCCTTAGGTCCTCAACTGCTATACTATTAGAGTACCCTTGGGTCCTCAAGTCGCATACTATAGGGGTACCCTTGGGTCCTGAACTGTTACTATAGGGCGGTACCCTTGAGTTCTTAAGAGAGAGTCCACCACAGGATCGAGAAACCCCATACACCCAAAAAAAAATTCTTTTTTTACGGATTAAAAACTTTTTGTTTTAGGCTGGTTTTGTAGCT